AAAATATGAAAAAAAGCATATTTGCCATTCCCAGTGTCAAAAACTAAAACAGGTACAGTCATCTGCTGGGAAAAGAACTCTGAGCCAGTGTAGAAGGTCAGAACAAGCTGACCTGATATCTACAAGGTGACAAAGGATGTCTGTTCCTCAACTCTCTGCTTCCCATCACCCACTGGGCCTTGAGTTCCAGGCAAAAGCCAGCAACTGCTAAAAGATATTTTGCTTTCTTACTATTTCTTACACACAAAAGAAAGGAGTTTGGGTAATGGAAAAATGATTGAAGCAGATGTCTTTCTTAGGTAGCCCTCAAGTTCGTTTGGAAATGAAAAGCAGGGAGGCATGAATGCTGAGAGTCTGGAGTCAGTATCTTCTACCCTGGAACCTTTGAGACGAGTGCTATGAACACTTACATCAGAGATGCTGTATTCAGCATAGGAATTTCTGACATCTGGGCATTTGTGAACCTCCAATATGATCAGAATAATAATCCTAGGTTACCATCGACAATACACAATTAAAGATGTGTGTGGTACTTGAGGGGTTAAGGAAGGCAAGGGAGAACACAGCATGGAAAGCTGTGTTCGGGGTACAAATTATTTATAAGGAAGCTTGGGAAATAGTTCTTTCCCATCACATTAATAATATTTGAATAGACATGGAAACTTTTCAGCATTTCAACAAGCAGCTTGGGACCTTGCTGCATCCATCCTGACTCTAGGACTCACCTCCTCACCCCCCACCAATGATTGATGCTTGAGGAATGGGCCGGTGACAGCCTCTTTCTTTGCTTTCTTAGACTCCATTTTCCTCCTTTCTTCTTCACAAGGGGAAAAATAGGCAAAGGGCAGTGGGAGGGGTGATTGTCCTTTCTAATGCAAGCCTCAGAAAGAGCTCCTTCTCAGCGGGGAATGGGGAATTGAAGTGCCAGTCAAGAGCACTCTGGAAATGTTTGCTTTGGACATGCAGAGGGATGGAGGCAGGCTTAGATGATCCCAGCACCTCCTTCCCTGCCTTTGCCTTGCCTAAGCCTTAGTGTGTTCTCCTCCCCTGCTTCACAACCCTGCTCTGTCCCCCACTGCCTTATTCCGATCTTCATCTGCAGCTGGAGGAGAAAGAGGTTAGGCTACAGAAGGAAGGAGAGGAGGGGTCAGCCATGCCACCAAGGGCTCAACCATGCTGGGCTAGCTCTGAAATCTCTAGCTGGACTTCAGAGCTCCTACACAATGCATGAATATTATAGCTGTTTGTAATTAAAATACAAGCCTGATAGAAAGAGAACATTTCACTTAAAGATTTGATAGAGATGCATTAAGGATTCCTATACATGAATAAATTCATAGCAGCCAAATGACATATTTATGCCATGTACTTAGTTACGCTTTCACTAACTCTGTGGTTCTAATTTATTTGCTGGTAAAACACCATCCCTGCTGATGTGCTCTACTGAGTATACTTCTGTCAAATACCTATTCAATAAATAAACAGCGTGGCATATGAATAACAACGCCATTACAGAGAATTGCAATGGGTTTTATCTTCCTGGTGATAAACCCTGAGCTTCCAGTACTGCCCCTCCTGTTCCATGGGAACATCCACCAAAGAGGTACCAGACATCTTCCTAAGCAACCTCACCCAAACTTGATGTCTCCTTTCAGGACTGGAAACTCAAAACACCTGCTCACCTATACCATTACTGAGTTTCTTTTCTTACCTTGCAAGATGTCATCCCTCCTCTGATCTCAGGCACTGTTGAAAAGTTGCAAACACCTGCCAGGAGAGCTGGTGGCCACAGCTACCATTCATGGAGCATCTATCATGGACCAAAAGCTTAAAATGACATCATTTAATATGTTTAAGAAAAATGCTACAAATATCAGTAGCTCTGCTACATTGGTGAGAAATTTGGGCATTTAGAATCAAGCATCTTGCTAGAAGCTGGGCAGCCAGGCAGAGACAGAGGCAGGCCTTGGAACCCAGATTCATCCCTCTCCAAAGCCCAAGCACTTTAGAGAACATATTACTGCCTCGACTGGTAAAGCTCAATAGAGAATAATAATCATAATAATTGATGGCGATCTCCCCATGCTCTGGGCAACTTCTAAGTGTTTTGTGTGTAATTACTCATTTAACAAATGAGGCAAGAATTGTCATTATCGCCATTTTCCAGATCAGAAAACAAACACAGAGCCTAAGTAATTTTCCTCGCTCAGAGTCCCAAGGATGGTTAATGGTGATGCCAAGATTTGAACCTATGCCATCTGCTCCAGAGTCTACACTATGGATCAATATTTTGCTCACTCTGAGAGCCACTAATAAAACTATAAGTGGTATCTCCAAAGACTCTGTAGACTTCCAGAATTGATTGTTTCAGCCCAGAAGGGGATGGAGAGAACAGAGAGAAGTACCCATGGATTTACTGGAAAATGTGTACAGTACACATGGAAGGCACATCTGTAGAGGCTTCTTGGGCTTTATACACAGGTGGCCTCTTGTCCATTATCTTTTCTTATTCTTACTACCAAGAATTGGACCAGACTTTTCAGGTTAAGATCCTCTACAGAACTGTCCATGTTTAGATACCAGATGCAATTTGGGGGGTCCCCAGACTACTCTCAGTTCTAGCCAGCTGGCTACAAACTCCTCACCCTCCTTTCAGTTTCAATAATTTGCTAGAATAATTCATAGAACTCAGGAAAACATTTTGCTTATTATAACAAAAAGATAATATTTAAAACCACCGAATGAAGAGACATATGCAAAGTCCACAGAGTCCCACTGTGAAGCATCTATTGTCCTTAGGGATGCATTACTTTCTATATGTATCAGTGTATAGCAATGCATGCATGCAAGAATACTGCTCAGCAGGGAAACTCATTTAAGCTTTAATGCGTAGAGTTTTTTTTTTTTTTTTTGGTCTGGGTTTTGTTACACAGATGTGTTGACTTGAATCATGTGACTGCAGTTGGGTTCCATGTGAGAGAACACAGTCACCAGTTTCTTCCTCTCCTGATCAAAGCCCCAATTTTCTAGTGACGTGTTGTCTTTCTGGCCTGGGCAGCCTGTATCTTCAGTTCTCTCATTGGTATAAAAGATATCGTAGTCCACTGTTTCCTCATTACTACATTACTTCATTACCATGAGCTATCAGGTGTGATCTGGAGGGCCCACAACAAATAACAAAAACTATCACTTGAGAAATCCCTACAGAATAGGAAGTACCTCCAGTGATCAGAGACAGAGGCCAGCTGTAATCCTTACTATACAGAAACAACACAGACTTCAGAACAAATCACCTTTCCATGAAACATGGCATTACATGTAGAAAGCAGCCAATGCTGAGAAGCCTACTAAACCATCGATCTGATTTTCAGGCCACTTTCTTTAAATTAGAAAGATCACACAGCAGTCCCGTTGCTTTCTCGGATATTAACCGACAGACAACTAAGCAAATGATTCCTGTGTGTTTTGATCAAGTTATTGATGCTGCATAAACTCTGCTGAAATGTGGGCTCCTCAGAGAGTCCAACCATTAACCTTTGCCAGGAGAACCTCCCACCTTCTGTGAGGAGAAAAATCAAAGGATGAAGTAGATAGACTCTCTGAGGCTAGGTAGCCCAACAGCCTGAATTCAGGAATTCGGGAATTGAGGAAACCAGGAAGAGACGGTTCAGACAGTCCAGCCAGCAAACAACCAATGAGACCATGGGCAATAGCTCCTCACCTGAGATTCACTCCTCAGTCTTTCCCTTACAACTCCTTTCTTAACAAGCAAACAAACAACAACAAAAAAAAATCCAATATTCCTTGATGAGAAAAGACATTAAGAAAGACATTAAGAAAATATGGCAATTAGGACCAACTGAGCCTCAGTTTATCAATTTTTTAAGTGAGGGTATTAAGTGGGGCTCCATCAATCCGTGATGTACCCACCTTGAGGCAGACAAGTAAATTGACGGACTTAAGTGGGTAACTGTGAAATAGCATGGAATCCTGGAGTTGGGGAGAAATAGAAAATACCACCCCACTGAACAGACTTCATGTTTGAATTTAAAAAATAAATCAAACTCCTGGGTTGAGTTTGTAATCACTGGCCTACATGGTTTCCCAGGTCCCATCAGGCTCTCTGATTGTGTCACTCTGTTTTCCTTACCAGTTTGACAAACCAGTTATCTCTGTGCAGGTCAGTTATGCTAAGGAAATCAAAGCAGGTATGATGGGTTGAGAGGGGGCAAGAAGAGAAAGTTCTAAAGCTACGGGAAGAGCTACTTTAGCACTTTCAAGAGCATGATTTGCCAGACAAGAAAACAGGGATGTGGAGGGAAGAACGGAGGGTGTCTCTACAGCGCAAAACTTTACCCCAGGTTACCCCTAATTGAACAACCGACATAAAGGAGAACAATGGCCCCTGGGGCCACTCAGTGCACAGTCTGCACCGTGGTGCACGAAACCCTGAAGTGCCCTGACTCTTCCAAATAAAAAGTTCCGGAGACCTCTAGACCCCAGAAGAATTGCTTGGCTTGTGCCTAAACCTAATGCAGCCATTAACCCAGTTCTGTTTCCTGAACCAGCTTTTCTTCCTGCTAATCCCCTCTGCCCCAAAGGCATTTCGACTTGTGGACCATTTTAACAAGAAATGGTTCCAAAGGGAAGGCCTCCTTGCCCTCCCCATGTACACACAACCCTCCTGGGCAACTTAGCATGAAGGATGCTTTCCCAGGGGTCTTTTTCCTTCTTCCCAAGGTGTCTGTATCAAGCTTTGTTGCGGGGAAGGGGACACAGAGGGGGGCTAAGCCCTCCTTGAGCCAACCTCAGGCTTGATTTGCGTTAAGTTCCAGTCTTCTGGCCTAGCTTCCGTCCGTCCCTTCTCCAAGATCTGCCACCATCCCTGGAACACCGCATCCTGGGCAGCCTGAACTCAGGCAACAAAGAAAGCACAGGCCCTTTCTTCTAAGAGAGGTAGTGAGGGTGGGGTCGGGGAGCAACCTTGTGAGAAGTCTCACCTTCCTCCCTTGAGATGGAGCAGGACTTCTCCAGCCTGCTGCCAACACTCCTCACGTTCTTGTGCACGGGAGGCCTCCAGGACAGATCCAGCAGGAGTGAATTAATAATTGCTGGCGACAGCGCTCCTGCAGCAAGCAGCTCCTCCCCCTTGGGGACTGTTTGCCCTTCTTCAGAGAGTCCTCCACCACAGCTTTGCAAACTTCCTTCTGTGAGAACAAAAGAATTGGAAGTGTGTATTCCTACCGGCCCCCCTTGTATTCAGAAAAGCTCATTTTCACCTCGTCCTGGATGTCAGGACACCAGCATGCTTGGCTGGCTCAGATGCCCACTGGGAGTTTAACCTTGAGCAGGTCAGAATTTTTGCATATTGTTTCCTTACCTGTAATTGCAATTGAAGATGTATGGGCCATAACTTTTCCTAGTTCCGGATCCCATTACTGTCGCCTGGATTTAAGTCAACCTTCCACACCTTAGAACACATGGCTGGGTCCACGCGTGCCTCGGCTCTCACTCTGCAGCCCGCCTCACGGAATTCACCTGGATATAGACAGAGCAAGGAACAAACATCTCTGGCATTTTCTTTCCTCTCTAGTTGAGTTGCCTCAACCCACAGGGCCTCCTCAGCCTCTACATCCTACCTAGGCACTTCCCTCTGCGGTTTGTCTGGGGCTCGTGCCAGGTCCTCGCTCCCCCGAGAGGCCTTAGGCAAGAGAAGGATTATGGTGCGCAACCATCTAGTTCCATAAATAATCCAAAACGAATCTGCATTTTGGAAAGATACCAAGGTACATGCTGAAATTCCAAATTTTGTTTTAGGAGTTTCTAATCCATTCGGAAAAGTTTGTCAAAGCTGCATCTTTCCAGCCGTCTCCTCAAATCTTCCCATGTGTACCCATGACCCTGCTTGACAGTAGACCTGAAGCCCTGCCTGTTGGCCTCTCAGCACAGCTGCTTGGATGAGTGTGGAGAGCCCAATGTGAATCTTGAAAGAAAACGTCTGAATTAAGAATCAGTAAAGCAAGACATGGACAGGTCAGCACTAGGCCTATTAGGTTGGACATGGCATGCTGGCTGTGCCAAAGGCACCAAGTGAGTCATGTCAAAATGGTCTGCTTCAGAAGCTAGTCTAGAAAGAGAACGGATGTTCCAGCTGGAGACCATGGGACTCCAGAGAGATGCACAGTCACTGCAGACAGTGCTGGGAATCTGGGAACTGTAGCCTCAGCCCCTGCAATTCAAGCCATCAGAGTAAACGCTGAGATCAATCCAGTTTCCTTCGTCTTGTTACCCAAAGTGTGGCTCATGATATAGCATGAAAGGCATCACCCGAGAGCATTTGCCTACATCACTTTCCAAGACTGGGTGTGTAAGATGCTAGGGAACACTGTAGCCCAATTTTAGAAATGCAGCCCCTCTTGCCACCCCAGAGGGAATGCATGGAGAGATGCACTGAAAGGGATCTCAGGAGCTTACGTGTGCATACAGCTGCTTTGAGGGGAGTTCCCTACCTGTTTTGAGCCCCATCCACCCACCCCTGCCAAACCTAGGGTCCCATCCCATAACCCTAGGACCCAGCCTCCTGCTGCAGCCTCTCAGCACCAGCCCAGTGTCTGGCCCCAACACCTGACAAAGCCAACAAGGAGTAAATTAATCATTGCTAACATCTGGGCCCCTGCAGCCAACTGGCTCTTCCTCATGGGAGGATAGTCTGCCCTTTCTCACAGAGTCCACCACAGCTGTCTGCTTGCCTGACTCTCATCCATAGTGGCTGGCACCTACAGTGTCTTTGCCTGGATCCCACCTACCCTGGGTTTGCTCAGCTGAGCCTCTCCAACCAGTTTCTACCTACAGGCCAGTTGTCCCAACCCTATGATAAAATAGCATACAGATGATCCTGGGACTTGGCTACCACAGGTTTGCCATGGTAACAAATGCTAAACCTGAGACCCTGGCAGGTACAGTTCTCAGAGACCCTAACTGGTACTCAAGAGCTACGAACTCTAGGTTTCAACTTCTTTACCTGCATCAGAGGTTCCAAGATTGAGTGTGAGATCACCTATGAGTAACTGCAGAGGAACATCATTGTAAAAGCTGTGCAGATACAGTCCCCCTGAGACCAAGTCTCAGAGTACTTGAGGGAACTTACTCCACAGCTGAGTCTTCAGGCTTCGTTGGAGGGTGGAAATGCTCTAAGTCCTGGTGTTCTACCTGGGCCTCCTGATTCCCACAGTCCTGTGTCTCCATATATCCACATTTGGGGAAGTTTCCCTAGAATCACATATGACAACCTCTTGTGTCACGATCTACAGAGCCTTTCTGGGCCATGTCTCCTGAGATATTCACAAGATCTCCAGATCACTCCAAAAGTGGGCTGAAGGGGTATGATGATTGCTCCAGTGAGGAGCCAGGGCTTGAAGAGGTCAAATGGCTTCTCCAAGGTCACACAGAGGTGCCGGAGCTGGTGCTTTGGTAAATATTTTCTAATTTTGGTTTGTGTTCCAATGATCCAGGAGGCCAATTTTCTAGGGGGAAAAACTTACCTTTTTCTGTTCTGGTTATAATTTTCCATCTCTCAATCCTTTCTTAACATTCTCTGGTCATCTTTCTTTTTTTCCACCAAAAACTCTCAAAGTTACCATCGGCTTTGCTTTGCATGGTGAAGCATGCCTTTACCTGTAATCCCAGCATTCAGGAGGCAGAGGCAGGCATCCTGGTCTACAAAGCAAGTTCCAGGGCAGCCAGGGATATACAGAGAAGCCCTGTCTTGGGGGAAAGAAAAGAAGTTACCATTGGCTTCTGTTTTGAGGTGACTGTGTCCTCCAAAAAGACATGTTCAAGTCCTGTCTCCAGAACTCATGAATGTGACCTTATTTGAAAACAAGTTTCCTTTAGATCTAATCAACTTAATTTGACTCTTAGGGTGGGCCCAATCCAATGTGATTAAGGCCCTTATCAAATGATACAGACCCAAAGGCATTCAGGAAAGAAGGCCACATGAAGATGGAGGCAAAGAATGGAGTGACGCATCTACAAGTCAAAAAAACAGGAGAAGATGAGACAAGGAAGACTGCTCCCTGGAGCCTTCCGGGAGAGCACAGTACTGCCAACACCTTGATTTCAAGCTTCTTGACTCCAGAGCAGAGAGAAGACACATACGTTGTCTCAAGCCACTGAGTAGGAATGTGTTGTAGCAACTATGAAAACAAATACAATCCCCATGCTGCTGAATCTCATGGATGATTTTCATCCTTCAGGAGCACACTGCACTCATCACCTGGCCTCTCCCATGAGTGCATTCTCTCCAGAGACTGTCATCACATTCTCCTAGCTGTTACTGCCTGTTGCTCCTTTGCGATCCCCTCAGTAGGCTGACCTTCCCCTATATGGTCACTACTCATTGGAGTTCATTAGGCTGTGTCTATCCCAGGGGCTCTGAATCCTCCAAGTACTCTCTCCTTGAGCAATCTCATCCAGTCTGCCACTTCATTCACTACCTCTCCATAAGAACCTTCTAGAATCAGAGTCTGGTCCTTTCCTTTGAGTGGGGATTGGCTCCCACAAACTTCACAAATCCCAAGCAGAACTCAGAATTTGCCTCATTTGACAAGAATGAAGTCTGTGATACCATCCCTCTGCCCAGTCCTTTAGCAGGTCTTTGTTTACTAGAAACACATTCTCCCTTTCAAACCAATCTGCTCCCTTCCGTGGCTACAAGTCTCACACACATGCTGTTAGCATCTCTCACCTGGAGTCTGTGACTGCTGCCAAGCTTCCCCAAAACACAAATGCTACCATGTTTCTTCCCCGCTTAAAATACTCATTAGCTTCTCATGGTCCCTAAAGCTAATACCAAAAGCCTTAAAAGGAACTCTAAGACCCTAAAAAATGTTGCCCCTTCCCAGTTGGGAGAAAACACTTACCTACTGCGTGTCTCAATTTCCTCTCCTAGAAAATGGAAATAAGAAGAACTAATATTTTTTTTAAAAGTAAACTTTGTATAGTGCTTGCCTAGCCTGCATAATTCCCTGAGTTTACTTATCAGAACTACAAAAAAAAAATAGTGAACATTTTATAAATTCACCAGTAAAAATAGATGAGTTAATACATATAAAACAGTTAGTACAGTACCTGGAACATCGCAACCTTGAAACCATTAATTAATATTATTACCACCATCGTTATTGACACTTCTGACATTACACGGCAACGTGTTCCATTCTTTGCTCCCCTCATCCAGACACATGGCTTTCGTATGTCCCCACTTGCACAGAGTCTCCCACACACTGGCCGGAACTTACTCCTCCCACTCAGCCTGCAGCTCGCAGCAGCATTGCCTCTTCAGAGAAACCTTCCCTGACCTTCTCGACTGAAATTAGACTCGTAGTCATAACAACATATTCTCCTGACTGCGTTTACCACCGTTGTAGTTACGCTTGTATGCCAGCAATTGTTTTATTGGCATATGCCTCTTTGCCTAAGCTCAAAGTTCTGTGAGCCCAGAACATATGCCTGGCATTCTTGCCATCTATCCCCAATGCTTAGCAGAGTGACTCTTACCAAGCCTCAGAGAATATTGGCTGAAAATATAAATGAACATTCGATCTAGCTCACTTCCTCCAGTAAATCACCACCTAAGTCCTCCTCAGATTCCTGGTGCTGAAATTACCACCAGGATGAGTAAGAAGAACAAATCTGATGGAAGCTTCATGTGCTCTGTTCCAAGCAATAGGGAGGTAAGTATTCTCTGTTCTGCTCCTTCTCTCTGGGCAACCCATTCTAGAAGCGTTAAAATCATCTATCATGCTGTTTATCACAACATACCCAGATGCTCTGAGCAATAAAGCCGCTCACAATACACAGGCATCCCATTCTGGAGAGATGCTCCAATCAAGTCTTCCCAGGGGGTGTTTCAGAGGAGCAGAGACACCCATCTGTCTGGGGTGTGGGGCTTCTGTCTTCACAGCTCCCTTTCAAAGCCTGGTGGCATATGTTGTGGGACCTGCATTAGCAGCCTGCAGGTAGCAGACCCTGAAGCAGAGCTTTGTCCAATCAGGCTGACAGCAAGCTCTGCATTTGTTCAGGGTATTAGGAAATGCCATGCTCAGACTGACTTTCTAGGAGAATCTCCAGTTCAAAATAAAGAGGGATTTTTTCCCCTGCAGTCAAATAAAATCAAACTTTGCAGAAAAGGCTTTCTGCTGAGAGCGAAATCAAGATCCAAAAGAAAAGAGGCATCAGGCTCCTGGATCAATGAACCAAGCCTAACAAGATGAAGTTTAAGAGGAATTAGCTTAACGTTCTTCGCGTGGGCCCAGAAAGCCAGTGGAAGCAGTATAGGGTGGTAGGAGCCAGTATGAAAGAGATGTAGCAGTTTCAGCTGACTCTCAACTCAATAGGAGCTGTCAGTATGACATGGTTGCCAAAAAAAATCTTAAGCAGCATTAATGAAAGAGTGGGCTCTGGGAGGTAGGAATGACACCCTCCCTCTGAACCACATGGAACATAGCTCTTGGTACAAAGCATGGAGCATAATGTTTCCCGGAAATACAGTAAACCTGAAAAGCATCTCCATTTACATGAGGAGTGACAGATTCCCAGAACTCTGTACCAAGTCACCACACAAGGGCCTAGAGACCAAGCTCATGGGAGCTAGGGAGCTGGCACTACAAAAGAGTTGAGCCAAGAGTGGCCAAACATCTCAACAGATGGGGAAGAACTGGTTGTCCCGTGAGACTCCGTGAACATTCCTTAGAACAAAAGAGGAAAGTGTAAGCAAAGCAGACTCAGGCACAAATAAAATAACACCAGTGATAGTATTGCTTTATTTTTTTAACTACCCAAATTAATGTAAAAGAAAAATTTGAGCAATACAGATATAGAAAAAAACTCAAAATTCTCGTTGAGTTTCTCTAGTTTCTACATTTACTCTCCCTACCACAGGGAACCACATGTAAGTTTAGAGTATGTCATTATGTCTGTTTGGGGGCTCTTTCCCCCATCGGTGACATTACACTGTTGGGAAAAGCTTGGTAAGCAAGACTGTCCAGAGAGGCAGATGGTTTCCTCCAAAGAAGTGAGACCTGTTCCACTTAATATATTCACAGATATGCAACTAGTAACTGTGATGCTTAAGCAGACCTCAGGTATCAGGGGGATCCTTAGCTCTCTCAGATTCCAGCTTGAAGAATCACCCAGGGTTCTTGTGGAATATTCAGATTCCTAATCCTAAACCCAGACAGTCTGGCGGAGTATGTCTTGGGGACCATGAATCTTCATTTTTGCACAAGGACCCCACTCAGCTGAATACAAACTGCCAATGTACCACATACTAGAAATCATGACCCAGATGATTAAACCAGCTGACCTTGAGGCTATCCTCACTCCATAACCCTTAATGCGGACAAGAACAAATTGGAAAACCTTTCTTTTTAGCAACTGTTTGCAGTGAGATCATGGTGAAGTTCCTCTATCTGACCAGTTGCCTTTTGTCAGCTTTTCACAGCTCTTCAGAACTCATGTCACATCCCAGTCTCATCCTGAGCTGAAGAACACACACACACACACACACACACACACACACACACACACACACACACACACAGGGCTTAGCAAGGAATGAACACCTAGCTCAGAAAGCAGAGTGAGGGGGCAACCCAACTCTGGACCTTCAGTTGGTCACTCCTGTCCATCCTGTAGGGCCAGGGACCAATTTTGCCTTGCCCATATGACCCCGGAGAGTAGCAATGCAGTCTAAAACTAGCTGGAAGACAGGGGCATTATGGATATTCAGTACTCCTTTGTACTTTTTGGGGTTCTCTACAATCCCTGGAAGTAAGGGTTGGAAATTGTTTTAGTAGTCATAATGGTTGGGGGTGGTGATACTATCATTCATTGGGTTGGACTGAGCATATTAAATACCCTGAATTTTGAGAGATGAACCAGAATGGTGAAATTAGTTATTCTCTTCCTATTATGTGTGGGAGCCTCCAGAGGTTTCCTAGTGAGATCTGAGCTTGCTTTGCCAGCACAGCTGCATAAGAGGATGATAAGACCATGGGCCTGGGTACCAGGCATTCGGAAGAGTCTACACTTGGTTGTATCTAGCAAGGGGGAGGTCTTTTGCCTCGCCCCTTGGCATTGTTATAAAAAGCCCTTTTGAATAAAGTTCTGGGCTGGTGGATATTGATCCATGTCCTCCCCAAGCTACCAAGCTATCTTGTGTTCTGTCCTTCTTCTTCTTCTTCTTCTTCTTCTTCTTCTTCTTCTTCTTCTTCTTCTTCTTCTTCTTCTTCTTCTTGGCTAGGCCTATCATTCTATCTACAAATTCCTTACTCCTCTCTCCTCCTTGTAGGAACCCAGGAAAAGGCGGGGGCTGGTCCCCTACAATTATGCACTTACACCCGTCAACTATTCTACCAGTGTCAATATGGTAGGGTTTTGTCCAGCCGTGCTGACTTCTGTTCTAAAGCAATAAGGGATACTATAAAAGGGAACAAATATCCCAGCAGAAATATAGCCCGAGTGTATGTCCACCAGCAAAGGACCTGGCCAACCCCTGGCTAATCGGGTCTCTCAGACCTGACAAATCGTCTCTGGCCCTGACAGGTACTTTCAGGCAAGGTTCCAGTTCCTAGTGAGGAGCTGCCCTCGGAGCAACAAAAAGGCAGCTTGTTTTCAGGCTATCTCTAGGAGACTGGTGAATTTAAAAAAAGCTTTTTCTCACCTCAAGGTGCTCTTGGCTAGTTCAACAGGAGTGCTATGCACAGCAGGACCATGTCCTCAAATGGTTGAGGCCATTCACTTTGTCAACTGACAAATGTCATTTATCATTTGAGACAGAGATTGGATATTGGAGCCTCCGGCTGGGGAAAGCTGTTGAATATTTTTTTTTCAGGATGGCTTAGCAGAAACTTGGCAAACTGACATGTTTTCTTGAGCTGTGGATTTAAAGGTACAGTCTTCCTCTGTAAAAATACATTAGCCAGACTTTGCCAAATGACTTAACCCAACAGTTCAGGTCAATAGTAGGTGGCACTTAACTCACAAAGAAACAAGGACTTTGCCAATACTGTCTCACACTAGCCCCTGCTCCCCATCCAGTGCTAAAACCCTTAGGATAGGGAAACCACACCTTCTCCTGTGGGTCTCAAGGTCACCTGAACAGCACTTCACTCATTTTATACCCAATACTAATGTGTCCCCAAGGAATTATTGACTGGACATCGCTAAGCACATCTGTATTGCTTTCTCATTTGTCTTACTCTTTTTGTGTTCTGGACATATACACTGTCCTCCTCCTCCTCCTCCTCCTCCTCCTCCTCCTCCTCCTCCTCCTTCTCCGCCGCCGCCCTCTTCCTATTGTAGTACAGGATGTTATCTATGATCTCACACAAGATGGCCTTGAGTGACCCCTAACCATACTCTTCCATTGTGTCTCCCTGGACTTAAGTGAAGCAACCAGGTAAAATAAACATTTGCTTATGCACTGTTTGGACCACTGCCTTCTCAACTAGACTGGTTTCTTGAACATGGATGCCACACTTTCTGAAGCCTATTTTATCCCCCACTGAAATGTATACCATCCTGGACTTATAATAGGTGCTCATCTATGAATGAAAGGAACAAGAGGAGGAAGATGAGTAATTGCTTTGTCTTCCTAAGTGCACTCTTGAATCAGCCGTACTTTATAGTCTAAAAAGCATTTTCCACTCTTTCAGTGCCTTTCTTGCAGATTATCCTGCCCTTGAATTAACAGCCTGATGAGAAAGTCTCTTCTCACTATAGAGGTGAAGGAGTTCTCTTAAAGCCTGTGCTGACCCCAAGATCACATAACCAACAACTAGCCAAGTCAGGACTCAAGATGTTCTCAGTCTAAGGCTGGTGATCCCCCCACTAAACCAGACTACCTCGCTGAGCCAAGTTAATCTCAAAAGGGTCTGATCTTGGTATTTTCTCTTGTTACTAAATTCATAAGCATCAAAAGTACAACTTCCATTTGTTTACAGCCTGTGTTTAGTTATTAATAATGCTCTGAGTGACTAATTTAGAATTTATTATTTTGAACCATGAACAACCACCGAATATATTTCATTATTTAGGATAGTGAGTTATACCCTTGCCTAATTAGTATTTTCAGATCTGTTTACAACTTTTATAGTAGCAGACTTTCAATGCTGACTCTTCCCAGGGGCTTTCCAAGACTTTGCATGTTACAGTTACTCTACTTGCCCCAGGGAATTTTGAAACTCTCTACACTTTAATTCATTTACATAATCTTCCCAGGACAGAAATACAGTACCACGATAATAGCCAACATTTGTTGAGGACTCTCTGTGAGCCACGCATGCATGGTACAAACCTCTTTCCATGTACCATTTTGTTTAATTTTCATGTGAAGATGGTTACATTAAAATCACTTTAAAGCAGAGAAACCCAAGTCTCCAAGATGGCAAGTCACAGTCCAAGGTTAATTTAGAGAATAAATGGAGAACTGGTACTCAAATCTGGAGTTATTTGACTCCCTACCCCTAATTAGTAGCCACTTTACTGTAATGACGCTACCAGCAGCCGGGGGACCTGGATATGTATATGAGCTTCTGCCACTAATTGCATGACTTCAGGGAGGGTGGGATTCACAGAAGGGGTGACATTTGAGCTTGAAGGTGAGTAAGCATTTATAGACTAGTAAAAATCACTTCAAGCAGACAGCAGAGCATCTTCAAAGGTTTAGGGAAGCATGAGTAGTGAAAGCAATATGGTTGAGGAAGCCATCAAGATTAAGTCAAGATGACAATAAGAGATCTGCATGTGATTTGAAAAACATAGAAGAATGGAAGATGTGAAAATTCCTCAAAAATAATAAAATTTGACAAACCCTGTGGTAGTTTGAATGCAATATGGCCCCCATAAATTCATGGGGAGAGGCACTATTAGGAGGTGTGGCTTTGTTGGAGTAGGTGTGGCCTTATTGGAGGAAGTGTGTCACTGTGGGGGTGGGCTTTGAGGTCTCATATATGCTCAAGCCATGCCCAGTGTCTCAGTGCATTTCTTGCTGCCTTCAGATCAAG